CATTTTTATTTTAAATAAATATATATATATATATATATATATATATATTTAATCTTATATAAATGTTTATTAATCAAATAAAAAAATATGTTTATGTATAACAATACGAGATTGCTTTTATAAATTCAAACAATAGGAATATAAATTACGTAATACAATGAAAAATAAAAAACCATAACAAACAATGATTACAATAACAGTACATCTAATTTTTGAATTAGAAAATTTCTCCGATAATTGATCAATCAATGCACTACGAAGGGCGATATGAGCATCTTTATCTCGAATTTGCATGTATCGAGCAACAAATGCTTGAAACTGAGAAGCTTCATTACCTATTATTTCAACATCTAGGATCGAGGCCTCTATCGCAGCGACGATAGGTGCATCAAGATCTCGTCCATCCTCAATTATCATATAATGCAAAATAATATATACAATCATTATATCTTGTAAGTCAATTTTACTCCAAAATTTGACTGGATTAGCCACAATAGCAAATCGACTTTGGAGTACTCCAAATACACGCTTCACATCCTTTCTGTATGCTTCTTGTTTCATTGTAAAATATTTTTTACTACGTGGGTCACGGAGTGGACAAGAGTTGACCATTTGGGATATATATTATCTGCTAAATAATACCCCATGTTGTACTCTTTCCCTTGGATGAAATAATGTGCAAGAGAGGCAATTCCTCGAGTAAGGCCAGAAAATAAATGGGACCTCTCTAACACATTAATACCATTGTTGGTTCCAGGCATACCAAAGTATGCACGACATATCCAAAGATCATAATTGGCTACAATTTCTAGAATAATAGTTGGAGATTTACTACGTCATGTATACGCACCTGCCCAAGCTGTTGGACAATTTTTCCAACGCCAATGCATACAATTTAGACTACATAACATTCCTGGAAAGCCACGTTGCTTGCTGATATAAATGAGTCTTTGCAATGTCATTGGCGTTAGGAGAACGTAGATACTTCTCTCTGATTATCTATATAATAGCACACCAAAATTTCTTCACGCATTTAATTGCGGTGGACTCCCCAATATCTATGTATTATTTGTCGCATCTGCTAGTACAACATATGATATTATCCGAAGCGCAACAGTTAACTTTATATAGATAGACAATTCGAGTCTGCCAGCTGCATCTCTTAGCTGGAAAAAGTAATAATCATGACTTTTAACTGCATTTACTATGCGAAAAAATAAATTTCTAGACATCCGAAAACGCTTACGAAACATGGCTTCATTAAATTTTTGGTTTTTATAAAAATAATCATTAAAAAGACGATTTGCAGCTGCTTCTCGATCGCAAAATATTGTTTTTCGACCAAGCACTAAATCTCCATGGCTTCGACCAACTTGTTGAGTTATGAGAAATTCTTGTACAAGAATATTATTGTTGTAAATTTGTTGTGCTATCAGATGTTGCTTTGTGTCATAACTATCCCGTACTTGTTCAAATTCGTCATAAGATGAACTTGAAAAAGAAAATGCATAAGAAGTACCAATGTGATTGAGATTCATATTTATTTTGGAAAGTGCAAGAGTTAACGAATAAAAATATAGCACGAAAAAACTACGTATAAATAGTGATGTAGAAATCTACAAATTTTAATCTGAGCCGTAAAATCCTAATTTTCATAGATAAGATCATACGATTGATATCGTATATAAGGAAATTCACAACTTTTAATCTGAGCCGTAAAATCTTGATTTTCGATCGTACGATTGATATTGTAGATAAGAAAATCCACAACTTTCAATCTGAGCCATAAATCTTGATTTTTTTATCATATGATTGATAGTGTAGATAACAAAATCCACAACTTTCAATCTGAGATGTAAAATCAAATTTCCTATCAGGATATATACTGTACGATTTTTATCAATGAAAACCAAATATACTATAAATAAGCTACATGGTAATGCAAAATATTGTACCACCAAAATACAATTTTACCATTTTTCAGTTTATGTTCTAAATCCATTTTCTTGTTGTAATTTATGCTATGGGATCCAACTGTACTGTGAGTGAAGATCAACACCTCTGCCGGCCTTATATGGAAATTTCTCAAGATCTAGAGGTGGGCATATATCAAAGTAGAGATCAATCTAGTGTGACCTATTCGTCCACAAGATCGATCCAGTGTCGCATGGAAAATATCAATACTGCTATTAAACTTTTCAAATCTTGTGTGGAGCAAATTGAAAATTCAAACATTAGTGGAGCTTCTAAACATGATGTGGTAAGAAATTTTACACGCATTTTTGAATTATATTTATAAAAATTTAATATTTTCTAATGCTATTTATTATCACATTGTAGATGGAGCGTGCGAATAAATTTATACGCAAAACCCAAAAAATAAAAGTAATCGACCATTCAAGTACGATCATGTGTGGTTGATTATGAAAGATTTGCATTGTTCGAGTACACATCAACCAAGCGAAACACGTTTTCATCTCAACCGCAATCAGATGCACAACCTGAGTCTCCCATTTTACCTAATCCAAAACTATCTAATTTGTCCATTACAAACGATTAAAATGCTAGTGGTTGTTCGTCATCACAACGACCATTAAGTATTAAAAAAATCAAAATTTAAAAGAAAATAGGGAGAATACGTATCAGCAGTTATAAAACAATGAAAGAGGAAAATAAAAAATTTAAATAGATGGTAATGAGCTCAGCAATGAAGAGGGATTATGATAGTGAGATGATGAAATGAAAAATTAAAATCCAAAAGCAACAAAAAATAAAAAAATGAAAACAATTTGTTGAGACCATGATATGGACAGAGGAAATAAAATTTTAATGATAGATTTGAATTCCATACAAGATAATTGTCATCGTGAATATTTTAAAAATGAGCAAGAACGATTTGTTTTTTAAAAAAAAGAGAAGGAAAGTCATCGCAAATATCACAAGCCAATAACACTTTTGGTTCTTTCAGTGAGTCTTTTCAAGATCTTGACGAGTCTGAAAATGGTTTGAGAGGCTACTAGAATAAAAAAATGTATTATTTATGTGTCTATGTAAATTTTTAAGTCAAATTATGTTGTTTTTATTTGTGTATTTTGTGATTTATGTATGGTGTAAACTTTTGATTTTAATGGAATCAACTTGTTTTATTGTGTTAAATTTTTATTCATATGATACCATTATAATATTAAGAAAAATGCAAAATAAAGTTATAATCCATAAATAAAGAAAAAGCACAAAATTATTTAGCATAAAAAATACAGTGCATAAAGTTATTTAGCATAAAAAATACATTTTCAAATACACATTATACAAAAAGTTATCATTAATATCACTTCAATACATAAAAAAAATGTAGAGATCTACAGTGTGCGGCAGATGTGGCGTAACACTGTTGCTTTCTCCAAAATAACATAGGCATTTGGAGCAGGGTTGAAGGACATTTCAACGCTGCAAAAGCGCATATTCAGAGAGATAGAGCAAGGTTGGAGCTGCTTTAATTAGTGAGCACTACACAATTTCTTCAATTTTTTTATTAAAAAATATTTAAATTATGATTGCGAGCTGTATTGTTGACACGATAACATTTTCTATTGTGAAACATTATATTCTCATTAATATTGAAAAAGTGTGTTAAATAAGTAATCGATTGAATTAGTGGAATATAAAATTTCATATTTGTTTTATACTAGGTAATAAGAGTGGTTTTCAATTTTTTGTTATATGTATTAAAAAAGTCAATATTTATAAAAGATGATCGTACTAGTTCTATGACCTCTTTCTTACCTATTTAAGCATGTAGTATATACGTTTCTTATAATAAACTAATAAGCGAAGCACCCTCAAAAGTATTTAGACAAAATTTTAAATTAGTGTAATCTATATCTATGTCTATGTAATGGATCAATCTTTATTATTATCATTGACGTAATTTTAAGTGGGAAAATATTTTCATCTTTATTTACCATATAATTATCCTTTATGTATTAGCAATTTTATATATGAACATTAGTTACTTTTTGTTTACTCAATGTTTATCCTTTGGCTGTGGGACTCATTCTGGATCGATTCGGTATCCACCGGCTCTACTTGGTTTCGCTGCTTAGGAAGGGTTTGTTTCGTTTTGATTAGTGTTTTATTGTTTTTTGTGGTTTTTTTGTTTGTTAGTTTGTTTTGTGATTGTATTGTTTAGGGCATGTATTTTTGGTTTGGGCCGTTGGCCCCTGTGAGCCCGAGTGTCAAACTTATTACTCCGTTGGGGTCCGACACTAGGGTATTACCCTGTTGGGGTCCTTGTAGTTGTTCTAATTGTTTGTGTTGTAGGTTAGTTTAGTTGTGAGTGTATTTTTTTTATTCTAGCGTTCCTAGTCGGGATTCTAGGCGGGCTTCTGACCTGTCCTCCCACTTTTTCAGCTGTTGGTTGTTGTGTATTCAGCCGTTGGCTGCTGTGTATTCACACATTTGTGCATTTTGCTTTATAAAATTATCTATCGTTTCGGGAAAAAAAAAATGTTTATATTCATTAGTTATAAATGACTTACATAGAATATTGATTAATTATATATATTTTCAATAAAATTGTAATATTAATTTCAAGTAATTTGTTGACACAACTAACACAAATATTCATTATAATTATGAGAGTTGGTTTGATTAGTTATACTAATCATCTCATGGTTCTAGATATAATTTTATTAATTATGTTCATCGATTAGAATCACTTAAAATATATAACAAATATCCAGAATAACTGTGTTTGAATTATATTAATCTAATGAATAATTTATAGTATTAATAAACTTTGCTAAAATATAGTCAACTTAACCATAAAAAAGTATATTCAAAACTCAATTTCTTATTTTTCCTTAAAATTATAAAAATTATATTATCTATTGAATTATGTGTAATCAATATATTGAAGCCATTTTTTTAAAACTTGGCACAATTTTCTATACATGTATACTAATTATAATACTTTATACAATACTAGTTAGTTTTTAAATTTGGACTATGAAAAAAATTCCAACTAAATTATTATGTTATCCAGTAAAGCGTTACTATAACTAGGGCTGGTAATTATTGTTCGAAAATCGAAAAACCTACCGTACTGAACTGAACCAAATTTAAAAAAAAAATGAATTGATTTGATAGATTTTAGTCGGTAAGCGTCTTTGTTTCATTACAATTTCGGTATGGGATCTATGTGGTTCGGTAAATACCGATCCGAATGTATTTTGTGCTATTTTTTATTCATTTTTTCATTAGGCCCAGCCCATAGCTGACATATCTATAGGCTTACCACTAAGGTTGTGTTTGGTAAATCTAGCTAATAAACTAGCTTATAACTTTTAAGTGAACTTTGAGCTTATAGGTGATAGCTTATGCCTTATAGTTGAAAAACTAGCTTATATGATAAAATATTCGGTAAATTAACTGATAAGCTAACTGGAATAAAAATTTCAACGAGCTTTTAAAAAGCTACCCAAGGACTTATGAGACGAACTCGAGCTTTTTAAAAATGTTCGTCCTACCAAACCAAACTTGTTTGAATAAATAAAGCCTATAAGCTAATCAAATAAGCTATAAACTAATTTATGTGCTTACCAAACACAGTATAAGTATAAAAAGAAAAATGAGAAAACTACCTAGTGCACCATACATTACAATCTTTATTACATAATTACAGGCCATATATAATTAATTGCAAAGCAACCAAAGATATGTATTTTATTTGTAAATAACATACTAGATTATTAACTAACACATAACTCCATGATAAATATAGTAATAGTGGTTTTAGAGAAAGTTAATATCATTTTCTCAAAACTGAATCCTAATATCGAGAAATAACTCCCGACGAAACTAGGAAGACAAACTATGGTGAAAACTAAACTCCCGTCAAATGTTGGTAGAGATTCATCGAGCAGCATCGATGAAATTCCACAAGTGAGGTCAAGTTCACGTCTCCGTAATATCCAAGCGAAAAGCGATCGAAATCTCGTGTAGAAAAAACTCAACTTTGAGAAGAAATTGAATCCGAGTGGGGATCGCCGATCATGGTTTAAATTTTTTTTTCGTTTGATTAAATTTACAGAGATTTTATTGTTAGGAAGGCGTCACTGAAGATGGTGGGAGATGCGGTAGCTACTTTTTTCGATCCCTGCAGTTATTTTTTGAAGAGACAACGATGGACTCAGGTGGCTGCACGTCCCTCCCCTCCTCATTTCCAGCGTGGATGTCAAGTTGGAGATGACGAAGGTGAGGCCAAAGCTCGGGCTCGTGGAGATGCCGACAGTATATATTGTGTGTATAGACAATATATATTCAGTATATTAGAAGATTTTTTTCATGGGTGCTGAATGATATGTCGACAATATATATTGCGTGTATATTGGCAGTATATCTTGCGTGTATAGGCAGTATCGACAATATATGTTGCATGTATAAGAAGTATATTTTCACTTGTGGAGATGTCAACAGTATATGTTGCGTGTATATGCCGTATATTTTCAGTATATTAGAAGAATTATTTGTTTACAACAAAATTGACAAAGGAGCAATTTGTTATTTTTTTGGTTGATTATTGTTTATGTTGATCATGGAAGTNTAGAAACTTGTAAGCTTATGTTTAGGATATGATAACATCCCATATAACGGATTGTTATAGTAATTTTCTTACTTAAATACACATAATGTCTGCAATTTAAGGGGTGATTTTTCTTTTCTTTTTATGTTTGCAATCAGATTTAGGTATATATATAATTATTTCTGACCAATACAATGTTGTTGCAAATAAAATCTTCCAACCGTATGATTGCAATTATTGTACAAAGAGTATAGTATGTGCTTAATTTCGCCAAGAAAAGTTCAGTTAGACCCATATTACATATGTTTATAGGGTAATCATATTCATATGCACAAAAAACTTTACAGCCCATTATCCACCTAACCATACTACAGACACCACAACCAATTTCTTTCGATTCCTTCAGCCCTTCCAGCCTCCAGGGCTCCCCGTTGGAGAAGATCCACGAGGCGGTCGCCGTCGTCACCAATTTGTTTCCTGACTAGAGATGTTATCGACATATGCGACAGTTGATGCTGTCGGAAGACATCAACACTTGTTAGATGAACATGAACAACTCCAGTTCATGGAAAATTCATCATTTTTTTTTTTTCATTACCAATTCGATAATTTCAGCATAAAATCATAACCGAACCAAATTTTCGATTACCAACTATAATCCGATCCGATTTCAATTTTGTATTTCAGAATTACTGAAATTGTCGGTTCGGTTTTGTATCGTTAATAACATACCGAGCCAAACCCACGCCTAACTATAACCTCCACTTTTTAAAGGGGAAAACAAGAAACCTAAAATCGGTGAAACTCGATACATAGAAGTTATTAGGTTCCGACAATGTTGGAAGGTGCCCAAACGCGCTTTTCCTAAAACTGCGCTTTTCATCAGACTCCCACGCCAC